GCCTCATCCCTCCACAGGGATGGAGGTCAGGAGAGCGTTGCCCTTCATGGGTCATCAAGCACTGCCCCTCCCCAGGGACCAGGAGTGGTGCTGAGCCCCCCAGGGAAGGGACAGGATGGGCACCTTGCTGTGAGTGCTCAGCATCCCCCCTGGCCATCGGCAGGGAGAGGAGGTTGACCGCAGATCATGGAATCACGGAGTGGGTTGGGTTGGAAGGGACCTTAAAGCTCATCCAGTCCCAACCCCAGCCACGGGCAGGGACCCCTTCCACTGGAGCACCTTGCTCCAAGCCCCTGTGTCCAACCTGGCCCTGCACATCCACCCTGAGAGCCAAGAGGGGACGTTTGAAGGCTCTCCCCAGCCCCAGTTCCACACACAGGCAATGGCAGGCGAGGGGATGGGTGCACATTTGGGCTCATCTCAGTTCATGCTCAGGCTGCTCTCCCTTCCTCATTGCTCCCATCCAGCTCAGGGGTGCAGGGCGGGGGGGGCACCCCTCATTACACACACTGGGTGCTGCCCATATCCTTGTGTTGGGCAAAACATGGGCTGGGGCACACTCAGGTGGATTTTCCAGAGGGATCCAGGCTTTCCTAGGCTTTCTCAGCATCACCCCCCCCACACACACCCCTCCGGGCTCCATCTCCTTATTATCTTTAATTATTATTCCTAAAATTCCCACCCTGGGTCTGGAATAAATGCACCGGGGGGGGGGAGGGGGTTGTGGACCAAGCTGCCCCAAGTAGAACCCCCATCACCCCCCCCATGGGGCTCCATCAGGAGCAGGGGGTTCAGCGCTTCACCCCCCAGCGGAGCTGCTGCCATCGCCGCGCTCCCAGCCCCCAGCCCGGGATGGATGCTCTTGGGGGGGGGGGGTGATGGCACCGTGATGGGGGGGGGCACAGCGCGGGAGGGACACGGGAGGACACGGCGGGGCGGCACCGGCGGGCGGGGCACGGCGGCGGCGGCGGCTGTGGGGGGGGGCGGCGGGTGGGTCCCCCCCGCACTGAGCGTGGGCCGGGAGCGGCGGCGGCGGCGGCGGCTCGGCCCCGGTGCCCCCAGCGCCGCCTGCGAGCCGGAGCGCAGAGCATCCCTCCTGCGGTCACCGAGCGGCACCGGCAGCGGCAGCGGCACCGGCGGCGGCATCGGCGTCAACATCAGCATCATCGGGAGCAGCAGCAGCACCGCCAGCAGCACCGGTACTGGCGACGTAGGCACCGGCTCCAGCAGAGCCCAGGTGAGCTCTGATGGGTGGGGGGTGCTGGTGATGTGGTTACACCAAGGACCTGGGCCACGGTGGTGGATGCCCTGTGATGACGGGTGCTGAGGATCGGGTGCTCACCATGGGGACTGGGTGCCCACCCTGGGCACCTCCATGGCAGCACATCAAGAGCAAAGGCAGGAGGAGGCTCAGGAGGTGGTGGTGGCTTTAGGGCACAGATGGGGCTTAGAGGAAGGAAACTTTACATCAGGCTTGGTGCTGAGGGGGTACTCAAGGGCTTGGGGGGGTCTGTGACCATCCCACTGGGGGTAGGTGGCTCTGGGGAGGACCAGGGTGAGCAGCGATGGGGCACTGAGCAAGGCTCATCCATCTGCGCTGGGTATTTCAGATCAGCCCCCATGGTGGCATCTCTGTCCCATCCTGGGCCCTCAGCCCCTTCTCCCTCCTCCCTGGCAGGTCCTAGGGTCACCATTGCCCCCACCACCTTCCAGCCTGTCCCATCCTCATCTCCATCACCCTGAACCCCCAGCTCCTTCTCAGATTTGAGCTTCCCAGCTCATTTCAGGCCTGGGGCGCTGGGGGGGTCCCAGCAGTGAGACCCAGCACGGGCTGAGCTCTGCTCTGTGCAGGGGACAGGCTCCTCCCGCAGCATCCTCTCGGGATGAAAGGGCTTCCCCAGGGACACCCCCTCCCCGCTGCCTTCAGGGCATCCTTTTGGCAGGTTGCCCCTGCAGATGCTTGGATCGGGTCCCTCTGGTCCCCGGCGCTGGCTCCTGTCCCCTGGCTGGGTGGCAGGGACACCAAGGAGGTGGCAGAGGCAGGATGCCCTGTGCTCACCTCGAGCACCCACAGCCTGTGACCTTGGGGCTGTCCACCAAGGGACACCAGAGCTCCTGGGTCCTCCCAGCTTATCCCCACTCATCATGGCCAGGCAGAAGAGGCTGGAGGTGCAATGGGGGTGAGAGCCTGACCACCACCTCCACCCTTTATGGTCTCAGCAGCATCTACCCCCCTGAAGCAGGAGGTTTGGAAGGGGAAGGTGGTGGCAGAATCCAGGATCTCCTCACTCCTTTAAGCTGGGGGACTCCCAGTGCTGGTTCCAGGACTGGGATGCTCGGAGGAGGTGGAGAAGGTGGCCGGGAGCAGGGGGATGCTCGGTGGGAGGCTCTGGTTGCTGCCTTGGGGTTCAGCTGCTGTTCCAGCCAGTGGAGCTTGGGTACCAGATCCCGACCTGGCCCTGTGCTCCCTCAGGGTGCTCCAGATCCTTATGGGTACATGGCACCATGAAGGATGGGGAGGGTGCCCACAGCCCTGCTCTGATCTTGGCTCCTTGGGCAGGAGGTTCTAGTGCCTGGCTCAGCCAAGGGGTGATGGATCCAGCTCTGCTCCATCCAGGCTGGGGATTCCAACCCCTGCCTCTGATCCCAGGATGCCTGCATGGATTTGCTCCCTCCTTGGCTTTCAGTCCCTTCCCCAGCAGCTCCCCAGAGGCCAGGTGGGTGTCACTGGGTGATGAGGTGACAGCCACCTCATCAGGGAATCCCAGTGATGCTCCTGGCATCCATGCAGGGATGGGGGGAAGCATCTGGATCACCTCCATGTGATGCCTCACCACGAGGGAGACCCATCCTCAGGAGAGGATGCTGCTTGGGGAGCAGGACACTGGGGAGGTTTCCACATCCCTGCTTGGATGAGCTGCAGTGGGAAGGAGAGAGGCCCTGGGGGGGAGCACAAGCTGCACCGTGGCCTGGGAAGCCTCAGATGGCTTTGCCCCCAAAATTCAGGATCTGGGGGAGCATGCATGTGGGAGCATCCTCTGCATTCCATGCTGCTTCCTTAGGGAAGCTGCCTTCCCCACCATACCAGTGGGACCATGCAGCTCTCCTGGTGCTGACCAGGAGTAAAGTGATGGAGTAAAGGAGTAAAGTGATGGAGTAGAGGGACCTTGTGATGGGACAAGAGGCTCCTGCAATGCATGGTGAGCCTGGGGCCATCCAACTGCACATCAGAGATGTCTGGTGGCTTGTGTCACCTAGCACAACTCAGAATGAACACATTGGTACCCATCAGGCCCCCAATGTCCCAGCCCCTGCATCCCGGAGCCTGTGTCACCGCATCCTCACATCTCCTTGGGTTTCCCCTGGCACAAATCCCGCTGCCACCCACATGCTCCACACCCAGGAGCATCCGGGCTGTCCCCGTCCCCAGTGCCTCGGATCGGGTCCATTGGCTCCCAAGCAGGATGCTGAGGCTGGAGCAGCTGATGAAAAGCCATGTGGGGAGGAGGGAGAATGGATGTGATGGAGAATGGAAGCGGCTGAGATGGGGGTGCCACGTTCATTGTGCCAAACCACAGTTTGTGCTGCTGGGGGGCAGCTAACTCAGGGTTATGGTGTTAGGGTTAGGGTTTAGTGGGTTAGGGTTAGGGTTTAGTTTAGTGATTGAGCCAGGGCTCAATCACTGCAATCACCTCCCATTAGATCACCTGCTCTGCAATGGAGCTGTGTGGCAGGGGAAGCTCCTGCTTATCTCCCTTGGTTATGAGAGCCAGCACTGCTTTACCTGTGGTGCCAGGTCCTCTCCATTGGGCTGCACGTGGATTTCCATCACCGTCCTGTGAATGGGGCTGTTCCATCTTCCCCTTGGACTCCATAAGGACCCAAAAGCAAAGGATGGGCCTGAGAGCATGAGGAAGATGGAGGAGATGGGCTCAGGCCTCACACCCAGCACCCTTGTGTGGTCCCCAATGGGCACCTGAACCTCCCCCCCACCAGGGGAGACTCTTGTCCCACCACACCAATTGAAGGTGATGAACAGCGATGGGCAGGAGCACAGGCTGGCCTGGGAATGGCTGGAGCAGCCTCCATCACTTCCTGGGATGTGGCGCAATCCCTTTCTCCATCCTTCCCTGGGACTTGCTGGGATCACTCCCTGCATCCCTCCCTGGGATGTCTCCATCCCTCCCTGGGATGCGGTGGGTTCCTTCCCTGGGATCAGGTAGGATCTCTCCTTCCATCCCTCCACTGGATGTGATGGGATCCCTTCCTTCATCTCCACCCACACCTCTGCACAGGGATCTTGCAGCTCCCATCTTTAGGTCGGTAAAAGCCAGAGGTGCTTCTTGTTAGCACAAAGAGAAGGAACATTTTCCTCTCCCAGTTTCCCAGAGGAGAATTGGGATCTGAGGGTAGATGGGGCAGGATGGGAAGCAGGGATGTGCACTGGGCTGAGAGCTCCAGGTTCCAGAGGGATGGAGATGAGGAGCCTTTGGGTGCAGGATAAATGCCCAGCAAGGCCCAGCAGTGATGCTGCACTACCAGCTCTGCTGAGCTTTTACTGCTTTCCTCTTTAATGAGAGCAACTCAGGCTTGTCCAAGGATGAAGCCAGGGTGGTCCAGAGGGCACCACACATTCAGGTTTCCCCAGTGCTTTCGGCATGTTCCCAGGATGCTGCTCCCACAGGAAAAGATGCCTCTATCTTATCCATGCAGGGACTTGCAGGAGATGCTGTGCTCAGCAGGGCTGAGTTGGGATTAAACTGCTGAGTCCTATGGAGCGCTGTTTCCTGGCCCAATCCAAGTCTGCAGGATCAAAAAGGGCTCTTCCCTGTGGTCACTGCCCTTTGGGGGAGCCAAGCCATGATATGGGACATGGTGGTGAGCATCACATTCGTGTTGGCAGAGCTGGGTTTGACTGCAGATGCTGGGGGAAGCTTTGGGTTGGGATGGCAGCGAGCGCCTGAGCTGCTTTCACTCTTAGCCTCGAGCAGGCCTTGCTCTGATTTGTGTTTGCAGTGTTATAAAGCAGAGTGACAGCTCCTGCAAGCAGCCTGGAATCCTGTCTGGAGAGGCTCAGGTTGGATTTTATTTGCTTTGGGGAGGGTATTAAGCAGAGCTGAACTCTGCCGTCATCCCTGTGCACGACGAGACAGGGATTGATGGAGCAAGAACCATCCTCCCAGCGACTCCATCCTATGGATGTCAGCAGCAAAAGCCACCTCTGGGGCTCATCTCCCTGTTGGCATCCAGGGATTATGGGGAATGAAGGCTATCAGCATTGCGTTTTGGACTCCTTCATTCTCACTCTTTGCCTCGATTGGGAATTTAGGTACCAATACCCAAGAGGTGTGGATGAGCCCCACTGCAGAGACAGGGAAGTGTTTCTGCTTGGTCCAAAATCATGGAATGCTTTGGGTTGGAAGGGAACTGAAAGCTCATCCAGGTCCAACCCCTGCCATGGGCAGGGACACCTTCCACTAGAGCAGCTTGCTCCAAGCTCCATCCAACCAGCCCCATCTAGGCTGGCTTTAGCTCGGACACACCCCAGGTTTTAGGGTGAAAAAGAGACTTTAAGTCCTACAGCTGGAGAAAAGATCCTTACAAAACCAGTCATTTCTAAGGCATCCAAAAGGAAATGGAGGACCCAAGGGAAAGAAGATCTTTAAAAGCATCCTTGTAACACCAGGAGAGGTTTGGCTGGAATAATTCAGGATTGGGGTATGAGCAGGAATGGGACAGCTTAGACCTGGTCATTGAGCTTAGACCTGGTCATTGAGCTTAGACCTGGTCTCGCCCACTTGCAAAGCAGTGATGGGGACCAGGAATGGAGCAGGGGAAGGGGTGAAGAGGGATGTGAGGATGATGAGGGGGATGTCGGGATGATGGAGGGCAGGAAGAGACCCTTCAGTGCACCCCAGGATGGATGAGGCAACCCAAGTATCAGCAGGAGCTGCGGAGGGGAAGCAGGTGAGGCTGGTGGGGGACCTCAATGATGCTCCGAGCACTCAGGCACAGGTTTGCTCCACACTGTGCCACCATCCCTGGAAAGGGATCAGGCAGGATCCGAGCTCTTCCCCTTGGAAAGCTGGAGGTTTAGGGACAAAAGTGCAGTCCGTGGTGAGAGAGGTTTTGCTGCCAAGGGCAGGCAATGGGGTGTGAGCATCCTCCATGGGCTGCATCCATCGACAGCAGGGATCATCTCCAGGCACTTGGATTGAGACCACCTCACTGGTGGGCTTGAAGCAAAACCTGGCCTCTGTGTCCTTCTGCATCAATATTCCAGCACCAGCCAACATTCCCGAGGCCTTTTCCATCCATGCCCTGGAGACGATGAGTTTGGGACAATATTTATTCCCATCCTTCCCTCTCACCTAGATCCTGGGTGCTGTTTATGGGCTGCTGACAGCTGACAAAGCCCATTGCCACATGGCAGTGAATGCTGCTCAGCATCTCCTATGCCTGCAGCCACATCCCTGGGGATGAACCCACCAGGTCCCAACCTGCTCCCTCCATGGGGGATCCCTCAGCTCTCCAGACTTTATCCTGTGTTTAATCATTGCCATCTGCTCTTCCCAGCCCCAGGGGCTGTTTGCTCTGCCTGGTGCCTGTCGCTCTCTGCTTAAATCAGCCCCGTTGGATTTGCCTCCCATGTGGACTCATCACTGGATGATGCTCTCATCCCCTTCTGATCCAGGGCAGCTCTTTCCTTCCCGGCTTGCAGCCTCATTTAATTCAGCTACGCCTCGGTAAATCCTTCCCATGTTTCATCCCGTTCATCATCCCTTAATAACACGGATGTCTCGGGCTGGGCTGCAGCATTTCCCAGCCTGGGGCTGGAGAGGCTCAGCACAGACCCCATGGAACCACATTGAACTAAAGGAGCGTGAAGAACCCTCCCTTATAAGCAAGCTGAGGACATGAAACGGCCCAAACCCACGCTTCAGATGAGCCAAGGACACATCAACCACTTAGAAGCTGAAGGAGCAAATCCTATGGGGAAATGAATCCTTAGGAAAACCTCCTGGCCATTGCTGTCCCATCTCCCTGGCCCTAAACACCCCGGAGCAGGCCTGGTTCATGTGCCTGGTGTCCATCACCTTCCCCTCTTGTGCTTGATCATTGCTGGAGCCAAACGGTGCTGCTGAGCAGCCCCAGCCCAAGCCAAGCTGCTGAGAGCTTGTCCATGGCTCTCACCTCTGCGGCACGAGAGCATCAGGGCTCAGCAGCACCTGATGGATGCTCTGGTGCTGGGAGGATGTTGTGGTGCTCAAAGATGCCCAAGGTTTGGGGCAGTGGGGCTGGCTCAGTTCCCAAGGGAATTGACCGAAGGGGTACGATGCATCCCTGTGCCATGTCCCCCCTCCACCTCTTCCCAAGATCTTCCACCACAGCCCATCTCCAGGAAGGATTAAGGTTTATTTCTGCCCCAACCTCCTATATCCCATTAGGGGCATTAAAGCAGGAGCCAGTGGCCCCGAGGACCTTCCATGTGACTCCAGGGGCTATTTTAAGATGAGACCATATTAAACCCCACAGAAACAGTCCCTGCTTAGAGGGGAAATCCCTGCCCAGGCTGGGCTGGGTTTGGGACCACTTGGCACAGGACAGGCTCCCATGGGAACACAGGGATGGGGACAGCGCGATGGGCTCCTTGTGACAGTGATGCTGCACCCAGCAGTGCTCACCATCCCCACCCATGACAACCACTGCAGGGTCCCAGCACCTTTCCTGATCTCTCTGCATGGCGGTTTGGGGAATGGACAGGATGGAACCCCCGACCCCGTGTCCCTGGAGCTGCAGGATGGACACAGCCTGGCCTGGAAGACTCCTTATTGCTGGTTCTGCAGCTCCTGAGCCGGAGGGAGCTGTTGGGAAGCGGCTTTGATCCGGCTCCTGCCCTGCTGGATGTGTGTGTGCATGCAAACATCCATGTGTGTATACATGCATGGGTGTGCATAGGTGTAGTTGAATGTGTGCATACATGACTATAGAATCATAGAATAGTTCAGGTTGGAAAGGACCTTAATATCATCCAGTTCCAACCCCCTGCCATGGGCAGGGACACCTCGCTCTAAACCATCTCACCCAAGGCCTCGTCCAACCTGGCCTTGAACACTGCCAGGGATGGAGCATTCACAACCTCCCTGGGCAACCCATTCCAGTGCCTCACCACCCTAACAGGAAAGAATTTCCTCCTTAGATCCAATCTAAACTTCCCCTGTTTCAGTTTTAACCCATCACCCCTTGTCCTATCACTACAGTCCCTAATGAAGAGTCCATCCCCAGCATCCCTATAGGCCCCCTTCAGATACTGGAAGCTGCTATGAGGTTTCCACACAGCTTCTCTTCTCCAGGCTGAACAGCCCCAACTTTCTCAGCCTCTCTAAATACAGGAGCTGCTCCAGCCCCTGAGCATCCTCGTGGCCTCCTCTGGACTTGTTCCAACAGATCCGTGTCCTTTTTATGTTGAGGTCATGTTGAGTGTACACATATGTGTGTGTGTGTGTGTGTGTGTGTGTGTGTGTGTGTGTGCACCGTCACACACACTGGATGTCAGCCCAGCCCCTGTTCCCAATGGATGACAGTGGGACTCAGCGGCTGCTCCAGCACCCACATGGGTGCTACGTGTGTCCCGCCCGTGTCCTGGTGCCCAGGGCCAGGGCGGCCACAACTGGTGCCACATGGAGGACATGAACCTGGATGTGTGATGGGAACCTCTGTGACCAGGGGCTGACACAGCCCTGGCACTGAATGGGAGCCCTGGCACTGACACGGGGTGCACACACATGCACATGTGTGCCAGGGGATGCCATGCATGCAGAAGCACACGCTACAGTGCCCTCTCAGCCTGCCTTGCTGCCATAGAATCATGGAATCCCAGCCTGGTTTGGGTTGAAGGGACCTTAAAGCTCCCCCAGCTCCAACCCCTGCCACGGGCAGGGACCCTTTCCACTGGAGCAGCTTGCTCCAAGCCCCTGTGTCCAACCTGGCCTTGAGCACTGCCAGGGATGGGGCAGCCACAGCTTCTCTGGGCACCCTGTGCCACCCTCACATCCCACCTCCCTGTGCCCATCCCTGTTCTCCATCCATCTCTCCAACAAGGGGTCCCTGCCCATCACAGCCCGGTTTGCTGCAGCCCTGCAGGGAGGAGGGTGCTGGGAGCTCTGGGTACCACTCACAGGGATGCGGCTCCCTCCTGCACTGCCCCATCACCAACCCCTCCTCTCTCTCCCCCCAGGTTGGAGCCTGAAGGACCCAGCCGGGTGGTCCCCATCTACTGGGGGTCCCCTCACTGCCTGTGAGACCCTGGGAGGAGGAAGCATCAAGCCAGGGAGCAGAGCAGGACCCTGGGCACGGGGGAGGCACAGCACCAGGCCAGGCTGGAGGGTGCCCGGTAAGGATGCTGGGGATGGGGATGGGGATGGGGGGGGTAGGACCCTGTTTCTCCATGATCATGGAATGGTTTGGGTTGGGAGGGACCTTAAAGCTCATCCTCGGTGCTCCCAGGGGCTGATGGGCAGGGACGTGTCTCCACAGGGTTAACATGACCGAGGTGGAACCCGTGCTGGACTTCGCATCCTCCGGGAGGACGGGCAGGCGCAATGCCCTACCCGACATCCTGGGCTCTCCGGCCGGTGTCAGCCCCGCTGACCTGCCCCTCAAGCTGGCAGAGATGTCCCTGAGTGCAGGTGGGTGATGGGGACCATGGAGGATGGTGCGGGGAGGGCAGGAACTGGGGCTGATCATCACAGAACCCCAGCCTGGGTTGGGTGGAAGGGACCTTAAAGCTCCTCCAGCTCCAACCCCTGCCATGGGCAAGGACCCCTTCCACTGGAGCAGCTTGCTCCAAGCCCCTTTGTCCAACCTGGCCTTGAGCACTGCCAGGGATGGGGCAGCCACAGCTTCTCTGGGCACCCTGTGCCAGCGCCTCAGCACCCTCACAGGGAAGAGCTTCTGCCTAAGAGCTCAGCTCAGTCTCCCCTGTTTCAGTCTGAACCCATCACCCCTTGTCCCTAATGAAGAGCCCCTCCCCAGCATCCCTATAGGCCCCCTTCAGCACTGGAAGCTGCTCTGAGCTCTCCACGCAGCTTCTCTTCTCCAGGCTGAACAGCCCCAGTGTTCTCAGCCTGGCTCCATACGGGATCATCCTCGTGGCCTCCCCTGACCTTGCTCCATCAGCTCCATGTCCTCCTTATGCTGGAGACCCCAGAACTGGATGCAGGACTCAGGTGGGGTCTCCCCAGAGCGCAGCAGAGGGGCAGGATCCCCTCCCTGTGCTGCTGCTCACGCTCTGGGGTGCCCCCAGCACACACCCACACACACACACACTGCATGGGCCATGCTCCGCTCTCATCCCTGCTCTCTCCCGCAGGCAGCGCTCAGGAGATGCAGTCACCCTCGGCGGAGGTGCCCCCTCCGCAGCCCCCCAGCCCCGAGCTGAAGGACACGTCCTAACCCCGCTCCAGGGGGGGCATTGCTGACCAGCGGAGGAGGGAGGAGGCTGTGGAGCATCAGCCCGGCTTCCCTGGCACGGCCGGAGTCCGCTGGGTTCTCCTCGGTGCTGCCATCGGGCATCATCCCCCCGCCATGGGGCGAGCATCGCACGGGGACCTGCCGGGATGATTCCCACCCGGGGCGAGGACTCGAGGGAGGAATGTGTTTGTCCTGGGATGCTGGGCAGAGCCGAGCACAGGGGGGCTCTCCGGGGGGGCTCCTGCTGGCCGCAGGAGCAGCCTGTGGTGTTCCTAGCTGAGTGTGGTGTTCACTGTGATGTTTTGGGTACCACCTCCGTCTCCTCGCCTTTCTTCCTGCGTGATGGGGGGGCTTTGCCAAGGGGGGGGGGGGCATAACCTCAACATCCCCCTCCCTTCCCCAGCCCTTAAGCAAAGGCAGCCAGCACCTTGCTGAGGGTTCCCACCAAGGAGCAGAGCATCCCTGCCCTATGCATGGGGGTCTCAGCCCCATGGACAAGAGGATGCTGGTGATTTTGGGAGTGCCGGTGATCAGGGTGATGCAGTTTTGAGCATCCCCCCCTGTGCCATGGCCACCCATGAGCCGTGGGATCCCCTCGTATTCCTTGGGGAAAACCCAGCAGGGGGAATAGCAGCAAACGGGTCCTGCGGTGCTTTGGAATGGGGTGGGGGGGTGAGATGGAGCCGGCCTTTCCCAAGTGCTGCTCCCCAAAAGCTGCTGGCCGGTGGGATGGGGACCCCCCTGCCCGGGCACCGAGTGGATGGGAAGGACTTGGGAGGCTGGATCCTGCCCGGGCTGGGGTCTCCTGGTGGGATGCTGGAGCCAAGCAGAGCTTGCACGTTGGGCTGGACCCATCTCCATCACCACGGTCACCTATAGCTGTCGCTGTGGGACCAGCAAAGGAAGCCCAAAGCCCAGATCCACTCCGGCCACCACCCTGGGGGTGACCGGGTCAGGGACACTGGTGTGGGGTCACCGTGTCCAGCCAACGTGGACATAGCAACATGTGTGTGGATGCATGTATGTGTGCATGGGGACCCTTGTTCATGGGTACCTGCATGCATGGGCGCTGCTGTGCATGGAGCACCCACGTGTGAGCACCTTTGTGCATCCATGTGCATGGGTGTTGTGCAGTGTGCATGTGTGTGCATGGGTGGCCATGTGTAGGGGTGCTCCCGTGGGTAGGTGTTCATGTGTGAGGCCAGCAATGTGCATGTATGTTCATGTTCATGAATGCCCATGTGCATGCATGTTCATGTGCATGTATGTTCATGTGCATGGATGCCCATGTGCATGGATGCCCATGTGCATGCATGTTATGGATGCCCATGTGCACGGATGCCCATGTGCATGCATGTTCATGTGCATGGATGCCCATGTGCATGTATGTTCATGTGCATGGATGCCCATGTGCATGCATGTTCATGTGCATGGATGTCCATATTCATGTACATTCATGTGAATGGATGTCCATGTGCATGGATATCCACGTACATGTGTGCTGCCATGGGTGGGTGTCCATGTGCATGGGCATGCGTGTTAATGCACATGGGTGCTCATGTATGTGGTGGGTCTCTGTGAGTATGGGTGCCCATGTGCACGGGTGCTCCTGTGGGTGAGTGTCCATGTGCATGGGTGCTCCTATGGGTAGGTATCCATGTGCATGGGCAGTTGTGCACACACATGTATCATGTGCAGGGGTACTCACGTGTATTGGTACCCACATACGTGGTGTCCCTGTCATGCGTGTCCCTTTGGATGGGTGTTCTGTGCCCTACACGTGGCTCATCCACATCCCATGGTCCCACTGCTGCGGGGGGCGGCTGGGGGCTGTGTGTGGGCACACATTGGACACCCCATGTCACCCACCCCATGGGGTCTGTCCCCATCTCCCCACCGCGATGGGTCCCATCCCAGGCAGCGCAGTGGGAGGAGGCTGAACACGAGCTCCGGCTATTTTTGGGTGCCTGCAATGACACCTTGGGGCCAGAGAGAGGGAGGAGGTGCCCCTGGGTCCCTCCATCACCTCCTTCTGACCCCTCTGTCCCTAAGACCCCATGGGGAACACAATGCAGCCATGGGGGTGAGGCCACCCCACCCCAAAAGCTGGACCCCCCCCCAAAACTGGGGATAGCATCCTGATGGATGGACCCCACTGCCAGCAGAGCCCGAAGCAAAAGGGGACACGTGTGTGGGTCCCATGGCCGCCCTTGTCCCCAGTGTCCCCTGCACACACAGAGCATCACTGGGGTCACACACGCCCCACACACACACACACACACACGGAGCAGGGGTCCCCATAGCGCTCACCTCAGCACACACACCCCCCCCCGGAGGACCCCACTGCTGTCCCCACATCCCCACCCCTCTTTCCCCATCGCCCTTTGGGGGGGGGGAGCCGGGAGCGGACCCAGCTCAGGGCCCCAGGGCTGCTCCCCGGTGTCGGGGCTCGGGGTGGGCGCTGGCAGCGCTGCCGAGGAGGAGCGTTCCTGGAGCGGGTCTGCTCTTTCCAATCATGTGATGGGGACGTTATTTAAGGCGGCGGCGGCGGGGCCGGACGGGAGCTGCGGGTTGGGCGCTGCCGAAAGCCGCTGCCTGGCTCCCTCCCCGGCACCCGCACCCGCACCCGCACCCGCACCATGGTGGATGCGTTCGTGGGCACCTGGAAGCTGGTGGAAACGACCAATTTCGATGAGTACATGAAGGCATTGGGTGAGCACCGCAGGGGGGGGGGCTGGAGCCGGGCATCGCCCCTCTGCGTGGTTTATATCCCCCCCGTTGTGGTTGGGGGGGCGCTGCTATAGGGGGTGGGTTCATCATTCTCTGCCCTTGGTGGTGGGGGGGGGGGTGCTGGGAGATGCTCAGGACCCCCCCAACTTTCCCCCCCCCAAACCTGCATCACCTCGGTGCATCCCACACCAGAGTGGTCCATAAGGGGGTGACACTGGTGAGCACCCCCCCCACCACCACCACCACACCCAAGCGCAACGCTGGAGCTGGGTGCTGCAATGGCAGCATTCCCAAGCCCCTTTTCCCATTGTTCCTATCCCAGAGCGCTCCCCAAGCACAGCAGGAAAACACTGGGGTGGGGGGGGGGGTCGGCAGGAGCACGGGTGGGGGGTTTTGGGGTTCACCCCCATAACCATGAGGTGATGCTGGAGGGTGATGCTGCATCCTCAGCCTATCCCTGCACCCTCAGGCGTGGGCTTTGCCACGCGGCAGGTGGCCGGGTTCACCAAGCCCACCACCATCATCGAGCTGGATGGGGACAAGGTGACGGTGAAGACCCAGAGCACCTTCAAGAACACGGAGATCAGCTTCAAGCTGGGCGAGGAGTTCGATGAGACCACGGCGGACGACAGGCACGTCAAGGTGAGCTCCAGCCCCAAGGGGGGTCAGTGGGACCCCCCGGGGGCTCCAGCCTTGTTGCCAATGGAAGGATGAAGCCTCTTTGCTCCAGGGTTGGGCTTCAAACCCGGTCTCATTCACCCCGTTTTCAGCTGGGGTGTCCCAGAGGGCAGGGAGGTTGTGCAAGGGCTGGGCTTGCTCAAGAGCAGGCAAAGGGGATGTGTGGGGTGGCAGCGAGTGGTGTCCCTGCTCCAGGGCACAGAGCTCGGTGTTGGGCTGCAGCAGGGATGGAGCAGTTGGAGGATGCTGAACCCAATGGGGCCGTTTGTCCCCATAAGAGCAAGGAAAAACCACCTCAAGAAGGGTCCGAGCTCCTTCCCTGGCCTCTCCCCCTTGCACGCTGCCCCTGCTGTCTCCTAGCTCCAGCAGCTGATCCATGCATCATCACATACAGTGTGCATGGGGCAGCACTGTGCCCCCCCAGCCCAGGAGGCATCTTGAGGGGGGGGGATTGAGGCTCATTGGGCACAAATCCCCTTCCCCAGCCCCAAAGCAGCAAGTGCAAGAGCTGGGCACGGAGTGAGGATGGGATGAAACGGGATGGGTGCCAGGGGGATACAGGGCAGCAGGTCCCTGTCTAGAGCAGGTCCATGAGCACAGCAGGTCCATGTCCACAGCAGATCCATGCCCAAAGCAGGTCCATGTCCACAGCAGATCCATGCCTAAAGCAGGTCCATGTCCACAGCAGGTCCATGTCCACAGCAGATCCATGCCTGAAGCAGGTCCATGTCCACAGCAGATCCATGCCTAAAGCAGGTCCATGTCCACAGCAGGTCCATGTCCACAGCAGATCCATGCCCGAAGCAGGTCCATGCCCACAGCAGATCCATGCCCAGAGCAGGTCCATGCCCAAAGCAGGTCCAGGTCTACAGCAGATCCATGCCCAAAGCAGGTCCATGCCCAAAGCAGGTCCATGCCCACAGCAGATCCATGCCCAGAGCAGGTCCATGCCCAAAGCAGGTCCATGCCCAGAGCAGGTCCATGCCCAAAGCAGGTCCATGTCCACAGCAGATCCATGCCCAAAGCAGGTCCATGTCCACAGCAGATCCCTGCTCACACTGGCTGGAGCTGATGGAAACTATGCTTAGAGCAGCAGAGCATGTGACAGGCACCAGACCCTTGCTATGACCCAGGACGTGCCCTTCGGGTGCTCCTCGGCTGGTGGCCAAAGGGCACAGGAGGCTGCCTGAGCCATGGGGCTGCATTGATGGGGCCGTGGGGCTGCCACACTATGGGGCTGTGGGGCTCTGTGTAAGAAGATGAGTTGTGGGGATCCCGAGGTGCACAGAGAGCCTGGGTGGGGACAACCCCATTGGGAGACCTGAGCCCTGGGGAGGAGGAACCAGAGCCATGGGGGGACTGGGTGTGGATGTGGCCCTGGCACAGCCCCAGGCTCACAGTAACCTTGGCACTGGCAGGGTTTGGGTGCTGAGTCAGCAGCTGTGCAAACAGCAGCCCCGGAGCGCAGGCGTTTGCTGGGTCAGCCCCTCCAAAACCCTTCCCAGGCCCTTTTGGTTCGGATCAGAGCCCTGGTACCATCCCTGGTACCTGCCCTGGTACATCCCTTAGTACCTTCCCTGGTACCTGCCCTTGGTAATGGTGGCTCTTGTCCTCTCCCCCCAGTCTGTGGTCACGCTGGATGGAGGCAAAATGGTCCACGTGCAGAAGTGGGATGGGAAGGAGACATCGCTGGTGCGGGAGCTGAAGGATGGGAAGTTAATCCTGGTAAGGAAATAGAAATGGTTTGAAAGGAGAACAAGTGGTAAGAGTGTTGAGAACGGGTGGACTAGTGGGAAAACCAGGGAGAAAAAATGCTTTGGGGATACAGGGAGTAAAATCAATGATATATAATCTATTTAATAGCCATTATGGGAATGGTGTGAGTTAAGGGGTGCAGTCATGCTTTAGAAAAGGAGGGGGGGGCTTCAAGAAACCTGGAGAGGAGCTTGGGACAAGGGCCTGTAGGGACAGGCCAAGGGGAATGGCTTGAACCTGCCCGAGGGGAGACTGAGCTGAGCTCTTAGGCAGAAGCTCTTCCCTGTGAGGGTGCTGAGGCGCTGGCACAGGGTGCCCAGAGAAGCTGTGGCTGCCCCATCCCTGGCAGTGCTCAAGGCCAGGTTGGACACAGGGGCTTGGAGCAAGCTGCTCCAGTGGAAGGGGTCCCTGCCCGTGGCAGGGGTTGGGGCTGGAGGAGCTTTAAGGTCCCTTCAACCCAACCCAGGCTGGGGTTCTATGCAGAAGGGTTCAGTGCGGGCCAGGGCAGGCAGGAGCTGCCCCAGCATCACAACTAACACCCCCATTTCTACCACCAGACTCTCACCATGGGCAACGTCGTGTCCACCCGCACCTACGAGAAGGCCACATAGATGCCATCCCCAGCTCCCTGCCTGTCACCTGGTGCCAACATTCGCCCCCCACACACACCCCTCAGCCCTCGCCCCACATCGGGGTCCTGGAGCCCGTCACGCCATGGGGCCACCCGCTGCCCCTGTCCCCATCGCTCGGGGGCTGCTGGGGCTGGTCTTGTGGGTCAGGGCTCTTGTTTTTTATTGATAATGGGAAAAAGCCACGTGAAGGATGAATAAAGGTCTCGTTGTTACAGCTCCGGGAGCAGCGCCTTGGGAATAGGGGGGTGGCTCGGGCTCACCTGCAGGCTCCAGCCGTGGGGAATGGGGGGGTTAAACCAACCCCAGCACTGATGGGGTTAAGGAGGCTCAATCCTGGTAGTGGCCTCAGCCTGTTCTCTTGAGCAGTGGGAAGCAGAGGTGGTCACGGGTAGAAACGTGCTTCTCCAGGGGGAATACTGGGTTTATTCCCACTGCAGCTCCGGCATCGCTCCTCCGGGCTCCTGGTGTGATCCATGCCAGTGACAGCCATCATTCCACAACCCAAAGCTGCACCGAGGCAGGGACTGAGGCCACCAGCACCTCCGGTGTGGGTTTGGGAAGGACCCAGCCCCAAAGGGGGCTTGGATGTGGGGAAGTGGGGGGAGAAGCAACAGGAGAAGGAGCAGCTGCCCTGTGTCCTGCCATGCCAATGGCTGAGCTCCATCCAGCCCCATTCCCACCTCCATGGCAGCGATGCTCCCATGTGGCACATCTGCCTGGCTGGGACACACAGAGGACCTACTGTGGTCACCGGTACAGGAGAGCCCAGCTCTGCCACCCCTTCCCCTGGCCTTCAGCCCCAGTTACAAGGCTCATCCTCTCCACCAAAAGGGTTCTCGCCTCATTACACCCTCCCTTCCCACTGCAGGGAGCCTCACAAAGCAGCCAGGACTCCAAACAACCCCTTTAATACAGGCCTCACCGCCTCCCACACCCTTACCCCGACTCTTTCACTGCCCAAGACCAAGAGCAGAACACACGAAGGACGAGAGCAGGTACAAAGTGCAGCTGGAGGTTGGAGAGGTTTATTTTCCATCCCTTAGCATGGTGCCAACACACCACAGTTAATGTTTACTTAAAATACCTCCATTCACCTCTTTGCTCCTTACTTTTCCACTCCCAATGTTCACAGCCAACATGAGTGAGGCCAGGGGAGGGTTTAAGCCTAAAGCCAAGAGGCACTGCACTGGGAGGACACAGGACATACACTGAACTGCTCCACCTTTCACAACGAACGGGCAGCACCAGAGGGACACGAGGCTGCAGCCAGGCCTGGTGCTGAGGAAGGGGTGTATGGAGATTACTCCAAGGTGAGCACTGTGGTACACAACTCCCATTGGAAAGGCATGGGGCAGAGCATCCCAAAGCAGATGGAGGCTATTTAATGGTGGCTGTGCTGTTCAGTTCTGCTCACGCCTCGTGGTGCACATCAGGGGCTCACACCGCTGGTACCCCACCAGCCTGCTCAGACTCAGGCCTTCTTCTTATGCTTCTTCTGCTTCTTCTTCTTCTTCTGGGCCTTGCTGCCCTTTCTCGAGTGCTTTCTCCTCTTGCTGGCTGGCTGAGCCCCATCACTGTCTGAGTCTGAGCTGTCTGAGGCCGAGGAGGAGGAGGATGATGATGATGAGGAGGAGGAGGGCTGATGCTTGCGCTTCTTTCTCTTCTTCTCCTAGAAAACAAAGGAGAACAAGTTAAGGTGGGAAACCTGTCACCTCTGCTCAGCAGGGCAGTGAGACACACTGCAATGAGCCCTGTGACAAGCTGTGACAGGGTCAAGCCCATTCCTACCTGGGATGTGCTCTCAGCTCTGACCCATGAGGCTGCATTCAGCTACTGTTCTGCCCAAGCTGCAGTGAGCAGAGGGTGTCAGGGTGTAAATCCCAGCCTGAAAACTGCCAGTTAGGTCACAAGAACAGAGCCCCTGCTCCATAGGCAGTGCCTACCCTGTTATTTGAGGCTGTTACTAACAGACGTTGGCAGGATGCAGCCTTCTGGCCAACCAAACGGGTCTGTACAGCAGCCACATGGGCGTGAGCACCATCCCCACATCCCCACATCCCCAGACCAGGCAGTGCAATGTGCAGACGTGCTGGAGCACTCCCAACACACCCTTCCCCTTTCGGGAAAGCCCAAGCCCAAGCAGTGCCAGTCAGAGGCTCCCTGGGGTGAGGGTTTGGTGCAAGCCCTTGCACAACCTCCAGGCAGATTGCACAGCCTCTCCCTTCCCCAGCACAGCAGCACTCACTCAGCCTCTGGGCCATGCTTCTGCAAAGCCCTGAAGCAGATCAGCAGAGCTCAGGAGATGAGGTTTAGATGCAGGATGAGAATGGCTGGTGCTGGAATAGAGCTCCTGAAGAAGCTGGAAATGGATCTAAACCCTCCATGTGGAGGCACCTGACTCCCAAGTGGAGATTAGTCCAAGACGAGCACCATGGTACACACCTCCCACTGGAACGGCATCAGGCAGAGCATCCCAAAGCAGATGAAGGCTATTTAATGGTGCAGCACTACAAGTTGTGGGTATTTGATTAGCAAACAGGACTGGGGAGAGGATCTGATCCCCTGGATCAGATGCCAGTGATACACAAAGCACTGTGAGCTGCTCTAGATGCAACTTTAGCCCAGTCACAGCAAAGCTCCTTTCCCCCTACATGTCCTTTTTCCTTCCTGGACACATCTCCTCTAGCCTGGTGTCATCCTGGGGTTGCAAGAACACAGCCTGCAGTCGAGATGGCACAGCAGCACAAGGTCAAAGCAGAGCATGAGCAAGGAGCTATGGCAATGCCCTCCACACTGGCCACCACCTCTGGAGGGCTGAGCTCCGTTACAGCAGTCATGAGTTGGCTGAGCCTGTGCCAAGAGGTGGGGGAAGTGCAGGATATTCACTTCAATGCATCTATTAATAAGGCATCGCTACAGGTTGGGCAGAGACTGGATGGGGCAGCCTGAGGAGGACTTGGGGTGTTGGTCAATGGGAAGCTCCCCATGACCCAGCTTCAGTGAGCGCTTGAGCCCAGACCCCCCCTCCCCCTGTGCTGGGTGCACCCCCATAGCGTGAGCAGCAGCTCAGGGAGGGGATCCTGCCCCTCTGCTGTGCTCTGGGGAGACCCCCCCTGCAGCCCTGATCCAGCTCTGGGGCAGCAGCACAAGAAGGACCTGGAGCTGCTGGAGCAAGGCCAGAGGAGGCCATGGAGATGCTGCGAGGGCTGGAGCAGCTCTGCTCTGGAGCCAGGCTGAGAGAGCTGGGCTGGGGCAGCCTGGAGAAGAGAAGGCTCCTGAAGGGGAGACCTTAGAGCAGCTCCAGTAAACCTGGAGAGGGGCTTGGGACAAGGGCCTGTAGGGACAGGCCAAGGGGAATGGCTTGAACCTGCCCGAGGGGAGACTGAGCTGAGCTCTCAGGCAGAAGCTCTTCCCTGTGAGGGTGCTGAGGCGCTGGCACAGGGTGCCCAGAGAAGCTGTGGCTGCCCCATCCCTGGCAGTGCTCAAGGCCAGGTTGGACACAGGGGCTTGGAGCAAGCTGCTCCAGTGGAAGGGGTCCCTGTCTGTGGCAGGGGTTGGAGCTGGATGAGCTTTAAAGTCCCTTCCAACACAAACCATTTTATGATTCAGTGTAAACTGATGTCAGACCTTTACCCCCCATGGCCAGCCCTGTGTTTATCTGGTGGTGCTGGAGCAGGTGGAAATAGTTGCCCACCCCAATCATTCTGGGCTGCTCAGGTCTCCCGTGTATCTGGCTCTTTGCCACTGTTCCCTCAATGTAATCACGGGTTCATTTGCTCTCCCTTGGCTTAGCTCCTTGGGGCTCTGGTGTCCTCAGCCAAGGAGGTGGCCTCCCTGAGGACTCCTTGTTCTGTGACTGGCATAACTGTGCCCTTGGACTTGCTTCTTTCTGCTTCCTTGTGAAACAAGGGCAGGGCCCCAGCATCCCTGCCAAGGCAGGGGTGACACAGCAAACCTCTCCCAGTAACACACTGCAAGCCCAAGGGTACCCTTGAGGTTGTTGGGGACACTCCTGGCAAGGAAAGGAAGGAGAGTGCTTGGCTTGGGGCTCCAGGCTTCTCCCATTACACTCTGCTCTGCAGGGGAATGTAGAACATGGCTGTGTTTTATGTTTGGGACTGGCAGGTGACTTGGGTCTGTCTCCCATTGGGCTGCTCCCCAAAACCTGTGCAGGGCCCTGCTCTGAACACCCCATCATTCACCCTCTTGCACTTAGAGGTGGTGGGAAGCTTGGCTTTCATCTGCCTTACCAAGGCTTTTCCTGGTGCAGAGATCATAGGATCACAGTGGTTACCAGTGAGGGACCACAGAAAGGAACGGAGGGAGGTAGCTTATTTAACATGAAACAGCACAACTCTTTTAGGGAGGTGGAAGAGCAGAGACACACAGACAGAGCTGCACATGGAATAAAGAGGCCTCTGGGACTGCAGGGGGGAGAGCAGAGGTGAGTTCACACCTAACAAACCCCTGGCAGGGAACAGGTTTGGGCAGTTCCACAACAGCACCATGGTCATGGATGTCACCAAAACTGGAGTGTCTGCATTTTAGCATGGGACAAGACCACATTACAACATCCCCCACCCCAGCTGAAGGAAGCTGTAACAGTCTTTAGAAGAAGAGGCTGGTAAAGAGTTAAATCTCCAGAGAAAGGGATGCAGCAAGGAGAATTTTCTCAAGCTTTTCCAGGCTGTGCACATGGTGAGAAAGTTTGACAAGACCTTAGCAAGTGAGAGAGTTCCATTCCAGAGCTTGGGAAACTTCCTCACCACGGGAAGGCTGAAGACAGGACAGGATGTCACGTGTGCTCCTTCAGGACTGCAGGGGGAACGGAAGGACACACGTGGACATTGTGCTGGCTGTAAAAAACAACCCATTCCTTGTCCCTTTCTGGGGACTTCTTACAGCCAAAGTGCTCACAGCAGCACAGGGAGAGCCTTTTTTAGTGTAGCAATGGAAGGAGCACAGGACATGAGTGTGTGCTGAGCTATGGATACTGCAGGGAGCAAACCAGCAGGCTAGAGGGTAACAGGGTCCCCTACAAGAAAGCTGGAGAGTGGCTTTGGATAACTATTCCATGGACACCAGCAGGGTCAGGATCCAGCCCCGCTGGACAAGGACTGCAGGGCCCTTTGCAAGGCAAGGTGCCCCAAGCTGTGCTTAGAGAACAGTTCCAACAGTTCATTCCTTGTAAAGGTATTTGAGATAAGACAGGAGTGTCCAGAGCTCTCCAAAGCACTTACACATTCTTGTCAGACCCTTTCACAGAGCTATGGCCTCATTCAGAGACTTCATGGCTATGTCCTAGTGAAAAACTGGAATGGATTTGCAGGTATCTCTCTCTGTGCATCTCCAGAGGTGCCAGTGATCCTTCTGGGAGGGTTTATACTTAAAGAGAGCAAGCAAAAAGGCACAATTCCATCCCCCACCATTTAATTCCAAGCAAGCATCTGAAGGTGTTAGTGCGCCCTGTGCTGAAGGTCCAGCCAGAATTAATCTGATGAACAGAACCCACTCTATGGCACTGATAAATGCAGAGTTCAGGGAAGCACAGAGGACAGTAAGAAAACAGCACAGCGTGTGAAGAGTTGGGCCCTAGGCTAATGCCATGTAAGAACTGGTAAAACAAGCACCAGCTACAAGGGAGAATGGGCTGAGGTTTGATGAATCACAGGTCACTGAGCACACAACAAAGCGAGGTGTGGTTTTGACATGAAGAGACAACATCTGCAAGGAGAATACGTGGAAGCCTTTTCCAGGGGGGAGGAGGAGTAGCAAGCCTGCCCAGAAGGCACCACAGGTCCCATTCACTACACAGTTCCAACAACCATCTCCAAACTACCCCAGGGATGAGTCAATCAATGTATGTGAGCAGAAGATGGGAGGCTTTGTAGAAGTTAAACTAAAGGGGTTACTCCTATGGTTGACACTGCAGATCTGCTCTTGAAAGACAAGAGAAGGAAGAGGAATGGGCAGGGTTCATGTCTCTCAGCACCCCTGCCTCCCATGTGAGGCCAGCACAGGCATGCTGCTGGTTCCCATGGGAGCTCCTTTACCCTGGGACCCAAGGAGTAAAGTGAAAGAACAGAGCCACGTGCTGCTGGAGCCAGGCTGAGAGAGCTGGGCTGGGGCAGCCTGGAGAAGGCTCCTGAAGGGGAGACCTTAGAGCAGCTCCAGTGCCTGAAGGGGCTGCAGGAAACCTGGAGAGGGGCTTGGGACAAGGGCCTGTAGGGACAGGCCAAGGGGAATGGCTTGAACCTGCCCAAGGGGAGACTGAGCTGAGCTCTTAGGCAGAAGCTCTTAGTTCCACAAACAAGTGGAAGGTGTCCCTGTCTGTGGCAGGGGATTGGAACTGGATGAGCTTTAAGGTCCCTTCCAACACAAACCATTCCATGATTCTATGAGGCCAGAGTATCTTCGGGGAGGAGAAAGAGCATCCAGAAACTGCAAAGAAAGATCAGATCAAGGAAGGTGAAAGTGTTGATTGTGAGCAGCCAGAAGTGTTCATGCATTTGCCATGACATTGAAGGGATATTGGTAAAGAGCAGTTCCCTGTCTACTCATTTGAAAATAAAGCTCTACATTCATGTTACAGCACCGGATAGGATGAGGCAATTTGCACTAGGTAGAATGAGCTATTTCTACTGTGTGTAACTCCCCCGGGGCTCCAGGCAAACAGGGAAGCACATGGAGGCTCCCAGACAAGCTCACAGCAGGCACTCAAGACAACAAGGGAGCTATTCACACCGAGGATCCCACATCCTGCCTCTAGAAAGCTCAAAGCAGCACTGGAAAACATCAGAAAACTTTTGATCTCCTCCTTGAGAAGGGAAGAGGATCAAAGGAAGCAGCAGGATTGAAAGGAAAGCTGTTAATCCAAAAACACCCCCCAAAAACTAGTAACAAATTCAGGATAGTGACCCAGATCTCTTGTAGTCTCAGCAGGGAGAGACTCCACCAGGAAACCCCACCCCAGTGGGCAGGCACTGGTACAACAAGGAGCTGTTTGCACACCTCAGTGTCACTTCTCCCCCCATAGCATTTAAGTGAGTTACACAAGCAGTGTTCAAAGCCAAGTTGGACACTGGGGCTTGGAGCAAGCTGCTCTAGCGGAAGGTGTCCCTGCACATGGCAAGGGTTAGAGCTGGATGAGCTTTAAGGTCCCAGATGGAACAGCCTGGGATGGAACCAGGCAACAGGATCTACAATCAAGGGTGATCCTGTTGCTGCCACTGGATCCAGAGCAGTACTGGGCAAACAAGTGCAAAACAGGCATCAAATGAACACAAGCTTCATTTTGTACCCACTGTAGAGCAGGAACAGGATTGGCACAGGGCTGGGGCTACACAAGGGAAGTCAACACCCACGTGGCTCTTCCCCAGCACAGCCACCATCTACAGCCCCAGACAGCCCCAGCTACCCTTCCTCTCTCCAGTAAAGAGTGTGCCAAAGTGCCAGAAACCACATTACCAGTGAATAACATCACTGCATGTGACTTCAGCCACCAGTGTCAGTCACTCTGAACTGGTCTGAGTCCTGCCATCAAAACAGACTCTTTTATTCCCCCATCTGCAGTCTCTCCTGCTGGGACCAGTACTGGTTTAACTCCACAGTGAGCCTGGGAGAACTAAGCCCTCAGAAGTTAGTCCTTACTATGCAATTGCTAACACTGTCCTTGTCCCTCTCCTGTAAAACCCAAATCCACCACCTCTTCTGCCTGTTGCCTCTCTCCAGGGATACAGACAGGTCACAGAGCTGGAAAAAAAGAGAGGAAAGAGGGCGGGTTTTGGAAGTGTAATTGCAAGTTGGACTCCAGCTGTGAAGGGGCTGATGAAACTGTTTGTTTACTGAAGTCTAAAGTTAGAATACTCGATGCTATACAAACACACTGACCAGCTCCTGGTTTGGATTCAGGTTTCCCCTATGCTTTACACCAGCTCTGAAGGCAGAGCTCAAACACTGGATGTAAATGGTCTCTTATCTCTTGACATTTTCCCATGGACAAGAATTGCTGCAGAGCCTGGAAGTGGAGCGTGCTACCTGTGCAAACACAACTGGTGCTTTTCCCCCACCGTGGGGGCAGATAAACCCAGAGCACATAGCGCAGTCTGGGTCAGGCCACCCGCTGCAGGGGACAGGCAGTGCAGGTTAAAGACAGGGCAGGGCAAGAGGGGAGAGCAGAGAGGATAAACTGGGAAATAGGTTCAGGGAACTGGAGCAATTTCTATAGAGCTTCTAAAAGCAGGGTAAAAATAACCCTTTTCTCACTAAAATACCTTTTGAGGACTGCGTGTTACAGAACAAAAGCACCTTAAACATGGTTTAACAACAATAAAGGGAGAAAGTATGAGAATTACCCAAAGGAGTGCAGAGTTTGCTGCTTTGCTCCAAAGCTGAGCCAATTCCTCAGCCCAGAACTGGCTGCTCACAGCCCGGTGCTGTAGCGACTCAGCTGTAGTCACACAGGACAAATATGGCTCGTTTTTCCAGGCCAGCAGTAGGGCACCTCGTACCTTTTTCCTTTTCTTTGAAGGCTCATCAGCTAGGCTGGTCTTTTTCTGTCTTTCATGTCCTGCTGCTGCCACCTCCTCTTCCTCCTCTTCTGGAATGAGGCTGTATTTGGTACCTCCAGGCTGCACATAGCACTCCCTGGCAAAATGACCTGGAAAAGAGTATTTGAAGGAGAAAGCCACCTCTTTTTTACTATTATTCTTTTGTTAAAATTCTATTTTAGACACCTGAAGTGCTGTCAATGATCACCTTGTTAAATCACAATCAGAGAACCCATGTTTTGACTCAGCCTCAGCTAGTTTAACATGCCCTGATTAAACAAGCCAGGAGCAAACACAACCCAGGTCATTCTGGAAAGATTAGTCAGGCAAAACACTAAGATGCTCTTGTCTGAACAGGGCAACTGGTAGAAACGTGCCTGTGCAAGGGCTTAAACAGGAAAGGTGGATGGGAAAGAGTAAATTGGTGTGACAGGCACCTGGTAATAAGACCGAAGCCACAGGCAATGAGGAGAGCAGCTCATTCTGCTTCAAGCCTTTCTACTCTGGAGACAAAGTTGCCCTACACACAGTTGTAATGGAAGCTGCATCTGCTCACCCCTTAGAGAGACATCACCATTAAAAACCAGACTGAAAACACACAGGATCCAGTTTAAAGTACAGGGGATTCTTTAAAATGGTATTTTAGATAGTTACCCACCACTGCAGAGAACCAGGCTGCTACTAACCTTCTCCAGAACAGCATTAACTGGTTACCCTGTGGCTCTGTGGTGAAGGCACGTGTATTTCTTCAAAGACCAAACTAGTACAAGGCCTCATTAACAAGAGGCATTAACAGAAATCTTGTGAGAAGGAACCCTGTATGGACCTGCACACAGCAGGAAGTTCCCTATAAAAAGCTCAAATGTGACTTCTACAGAATTTCAGCCAAGTTTCCTAAGAGACAGAAAACAGAGCTCTCTAAGGCCCATGGAAGCAGAACTCAGCCCTTACACACACCATGAGTGGGATGTGGATACAATCCAGCCTACAGGTTGCTACCTGGCTGGAACAAGGCAGCCCATAAACATACCTTTGCAGCCACACTTCTTGCACACGGTGTTCAGGACAGCTTCCAGTGTGATCTTCTGACTCGTGTAGTCCCTGAACATGCGTCTTCTCCTCTCATCCTGACTGTAAAGGGAAGAACAGCTCCGTTTTCCATCCACTCTCATCTCTAAACAGAGTTACATGGATCCAACCTAAACGCAGTTGTTTTCAAATGTTGCTCTAGAAGTCCCACTTGTTAAATCAAAGAATGGAGCAGAGCAACTGCTCATGACAACACAGCACGTTCTTAACCGTGTACTGCCCATCATCATCTGCTTCTGAGGCAAACTGAGTGCTCTCTGCACAGAGCAGACAAGCACAGGGAGCTGCAGATATGTCCTTTATGCTAACATCTTATTTGGTATGGGAACACACATCTGTAAATTGCCCAGTGTGAAAATAAAGTGATTTTGTTTTTTACAAGGGGCTTTGGACAAAGGCCTGTCCAAGGGACAAGGGGAATGGCTTGAACCTGCCAGAGGGGAGACTGAGCTGAGCTCTTAGGCAGAAGCTCTTCCCTGTGAGGGTGCTGAGGCGCTGGCACAGGGTGCCCAGAGAAGCTGTGGCTGCCCCATCCCTGGCAGTGCTCAAGGCCAGGTCGGACACAGGGGCTTGGAGCAAGCTGCTCCAGTGGAAGGGGTCCCTGCCCATGGCAGGCGGTGGAACTTGAAGAGCTTTAAGGTCCCTTCCAACCCAAACCAGGTTGGGATTCTGATCTGCAAGAGATGTCATCAAAAGACAAGCAAATAGCAATAAGTAGATAAAGAAGCTGTAAAACACTCAGTTACAATTTGGTTTCTCAGTATGTGAAGCGAGACAAATGCCCAGCTGGAGCAACAGTCCTTCCTGCACAAGTTAATGCCCATCGTGACACAGGAATGAAAATCCTGCTGCAGTGTGAAGGGCTGGAACTTGCTGCAGTCTTTTCCAGCTCCTGCCTCTAGGCAGTGTAACCGAGGGATTGCCTTCAGCCAACCCTCCAGCCACACATCACCAGGCTGAGGTAGAGCCTCCCACCCTCCACAGGAGGGGAACTCTAGAAGGGGTATGGCAGGAGAGGCAGGAGAACAAGGCAGAAGCAACCTGGCTGGTCTGTCAGATCCTGCTCAATAGATTTACCTACTCAAGGGAAACATTGTTTGGATCGAGGTCTTTTCCTGTGCCTTGGTTAACAACCTTCATGGAGAGGGAAAGCTTCAGCTTGTCATCCTTCATCTGAAAGAGAAGATTCACGACAACGTTGTTAATGAATGCCCTGTGTCTGGAGGCCTGTTGAGAAGCCTGGTTAGCAAAGAGCAGCACCACAAAGGATACTACACCAAAGTGCCTTAGATCTGTTAGTCTGTAGCTGCATTTAGTATTGTAGCCAATAAACCTGCTTCTGCTCTGCAGGTACTTTAGTCACGAGACAAACTCAAATATAGAATTATAGAATCACAGAATCAACTGGGTTGGAAAATACCTTCAAGATCACCAAGTCCAACCATTCCCCAGCACTGCCAAGGCCATCACTAACCCATGGCACTGAGTGCCTCAGCTACACAGTGTGTGAACACCCAGGGAATTTTAAGCCAAAAGCTTTGATGAAGTCCCTGTTCTGCTAAAATTCACCAAAGCCTTGTGCCCAAAGTCATGTCTGGAGGTCAAGAGAATCCATCTGTGTGCAAAACAGAGGCCCTTGAATGCCAACACAGCACCAGAAACACAGCCCCTCAGTACAGCTCAGTGGGTTTGCAGGCTACTGTATCTACAGAGCACTGAGGAAACAAGAATGAACATTACCTCCTTCCCAATCAGCTTCACCCATACTTTGTCTCCAACATCTACTATCTCCGATGGCTTATCCACACGGCAGGAGGACATGTGGGTCCTGTGGACAAGGCCTGGGCATGGGTTTGGAAGAGAAGAAGGGGAAAAAATCAAGCCAAGTCTCCACTGAAGCTCAGTTTTGCCCTCTAGACCTGCAGTCTGCCAAGTGGGCTGGATGCTCATTTCATCTTCAGCTCACCCTCTATTTCCGAGTGTGTTTTATAACGTTCATGACATTAGTACAGCAGAACAGGTATAGAATTTACCAACAGACAAACATCGAGGGGGTGCTCAATAACTCTTTGATTAACTGATTTCAACTGACCATGCCCCAGGGGTGCACAACCAAACCCCTTTGGAGACCACAGAGAAGCTGCTCAGTGGTTCCCCTAAGCAAAATGAACCATTTCCTTCCCCCAGTACATTAAGCAGGTGAGAAGCAAATACTTGCAGCAATGAGACATAGCACAGCTCATCAGGATCTGCTCCAAATAACTCAGAGAAGCAGATCCTCCAAAGCAATGCCTTTGTACTCAAAACACCAGATGCCCATAAGGAACAGCACAGCAGGCAGTCACCGCTCTCCCTTCCTGCCTGTCTCCACCCTGGGCACTGGGGCATAAAGAACCTATTTCACAGAATCAGACTGCTTTGGGTTGGAAAGGACCTTAAGATCATCCAGTTCCAACCCCCTGCCATGGGCAGAGAGGGGCTGTGTGTGCCAGCACCTGACACAACATCCACCAGGCACTGTTTCTTCTGTAAAAGGAGTTTGTTTCCTATGCAGGTTTCTCCACACACACTGAAGGAGCTGGAAATCAGCTTTTCCTGTTGAGTTTTATATTTGAGCTTCACTTCAGTTACTTTTGATTAACTCAGGTACACTGGACATCGAATAACTCAGTTGGGCAAAGCAGCAAACTGCAAGAAATTACTATAGTTTGCCCAAGTCCTTCAAATGATTCTCTAAAACATCCTGAAGTTACCAAAAAGCCTTCTGAGTCACCAGATTATTCACACAAACTCACCATCAGATTGCAAATACCTTCTGAGATGCCAATTTTTTCCTAATTCAGGAAAAATACCTTTTTTCCTGAGCTTTGGCTAAAACCCAGTGAGTCTTTCATGTCACAGACAACAGCTACACACCCCAATGGGAAACTACAGCTGAACAAAAGCACAGCAACAAACCTTGCTTCCTGCAGCCTGGGATTTTGATGAAGGCCCCATATTCTGTCACTGCAGCAACCTGGGGAGAAAAGTAACACAAAGCCCTTGACAAAACACCCACTCTCCAACCACAGCTTAGAGCAGGCAGTAAGAAGCCCACATGGTTCTCCTGCTTTTCACATTTAGCTATCAGAGCAGGTTAGACAGAGCAGTGCTGGTTAACTTGGGAGTGGGTACAGTCAGCCAAGCACTCCATGTAATGATTAGCATCTTGTACATATATATACATACATATATATCACAGAATCAGCCTGGTTTGGTAGAATGGACCTTATAACTCATTCAGTTCCAACCCCCTGTCACGGGCAAGGACACCTTGCACTAGACCAAGCAGTGAAGAACCCACAGCCTCCCCCTCCCTGGGTCCTGACCACAAGCAATGCCCTCAGTACCTCTCCCTGGAAGATGGAGTAGAGCTCAGGCAGCACCTCCATGGCTGCAGCCTTGTACTGTCCAGGTGAGAGTCACTCCAGCTGCCCCACAACAACTGAATTCACTCAGGGCATTGCACATCCATCACCTGGGTGCAGGGAGATAGCCTGGGAAGAAACAGTTGATTAACACATGGAAGCACCTGCACACAGGCTCATTCACAAGCAACAGGGCTTGTTTCATTGACTAGCTTGGGCTGGGAAGGACTTTCAGTTCCATTCAGTAGGCAGGGACCCCTTCCACTGGAGCAGCTTGCTCCAAGCCCCTGTGTCCAACCTGGCCTTGAGCACTGCCAGGGATGGGGCAGCCACAGCTTCTCTGGGCACCCTGTGCCAGCGCCTCAGCACCCTCACAGGGAAGAGCTTCTTCTTTATCTCCAACCTGAACCTCCCCTGTTTCAGTTTGAACCCATCACCCCCTGTCCTATCGCTACGTTTCGCCTTGACTTCAGCTACATCCAGCACCAACCCCCGAGCGCCCCGCGGTGCCTGTCTCAGCGCTCCGGCCGCCCCTGCCCTGCTGCCGGGTGTGCCCAGCGGCTCTCACCGGCGCGGGCAGCCGAAGCCGTAAGCGGGACCCTGGTCTGAGCCCCAAGCCGCGGTGCTACGGGGCCGAGCCGTGCTGAGTTGCCCGGAGACCGCAGTGAGAGCGGATCCCATCAGCGTCCACCGTGGCGCCTCCCGGCCGCCGCCATTTTACTCCTCCACACACACCCCCTTCACTTTGAAACACCTCCCATTCTTCCAATCACCAGGCTCAATGCTGCCGGGTGTCAGCTTTTATCCACTCAGCGTTACCCGTGTTAGGCGGTGCCATCCCCATCAGCCAGTCCGTGCGTGGAACACCTCCCGGCCCTCCGCGCCTCTCTGACGTCACCTGCGCGCCGGATGCAAGCCTGAGGTTGGGGCGGGACATCCTGCCGCTTTCCACCAATCAGCGCGGCAGGACGCGGCGCGGCTGACCAATAGCGGGGCGGGCGGGCGCGCACCGGACGGCAATGATCGAGCAGCAGAAGCGGAAGGTCCCGGCCGGCGGCCCCGGGCCCGGCCCCGCTCCGGGCCCCATCGCGCCCCCCGGCACCGCCCCCGGGGCCTCCCCCCCGCCCGGTGCCGACCTCCCGATCGTGCCCGTGCCGGCCAAGAGGCCCCGCCATGAGCTGCCGGGGCCGCCGGGCGCGGGGGGCGGCGGCGGACAGCCCCCGCCCGGGGCCCTGCTGCAGGCGGTACGGCGTGAGGGGGTGCGGGGGCCGTGAGGGGGTAACGGAGGGGAAAGGCCCCTGAGGGAGGGGAGGTGCGCGTGGGGCGATATTGGGGTTGGGTGCGAGGTGTGGGCCCGGCCGTGCCCCGGGGATGGTGCAGAGCTGCAGGGCTGGGAAGAGCGGCTGCAAACTGCGCATGGGGAAGGGGCTGGAGCTGTGGGGCTGGGCATGAGCAGCTTGTGCCCAGGAAGCCCCCAGCATCCTGGCCTGGATCAGCAGCAGTGCAGCAGCAGGGCCAGGGCAGGGACTGTGCTCCTGCACTGGGCAGTGGTGAGGCCACACCTCGGATCCTGTGTTCAGTTCTGGGCCCCTCACTGCAAGAGAGACACTGAGGGGCTGGAGCGGGGCTGGAGAAGGGCAACAGAGCTGGTGCAGGGTTTGGAGCACAAGTGTGATGGGGAAGGGCTGAGGGACCTGGGGGATTCAGTCTGGAGAAGAGAAGGCTCAGGGGGGACCTGATGGCTGCCTACAACTGCCTGACAGGAGGATGGAGCCAGGAGGGGCTGGGCTCTGCTCCCAAGGAACAAGGGATGGGACCAGAGGAACCGGCCTCAAGCTGCACCAGGGCAGGTTTAGATGGAGCTGAGGAACAATTCCTGCCCCAGAGGGTGCTCAGGCATTGGAACAGGCTGCCCAGGGCAGGGCTGCAGGCACCGGCCCTGCAAGTGTTCACGCAGCGTGGAGACGAGGCCTCAGTGCCATGGGTTAGGGGTGGCCTTGGCAGTGCTGGGGAATGGTTGGACTGGATGAGCTTAAAGGGCTTTTCCAGTGCAGTTGACTCGGTGGTTTCATGATTCTTACTCTTTTCACCCTTTCCCCATTGCCTCCACAGGGTCCCCCGCGCTGCTCCTCGCTGCAGGCACCCATCATGCTGCTCTCAGGGCACGAGGGGGAGGTTTACTGCTGCAAGTTCCACCCCAATGGCAACACACTCGCCTCTGCTGGCTTCGACAGGCTCATCTGTGAGTACCAGGCACCGGGGTCCCAGCCAGCGCTGGTTCTGTGGGATTGGGGCTTGTACATCAGGCTGCTGGAGTGGAGCCCTCGTCTTACTGGGTCCTGAGCTTCACCTTAGGGGTGTGAGAAAGGAACCATGCAGCAGCTCAGGGAGGGGATCCTGCCCCTCTGCTGTGCTCTGGGGAGACCCCCCTGCAGCCCTGATCCAGCTCTGGGGCAGCAGCACAAGAGGGACGTGGAGCTGCTGGAGCGAGGCCAGAGGAGGCCATGGAGATGCTGCGAGGGCTGGAGCAGCTCTGCTCTGGAGCCAGGCTGAGAGAGCTGGGCTGGGGCAGCCTGGAGAAGGCTCCAGGAAGGCCTTATTGTGGCCTTCTGGTTGTTAAAAGGCCTATAAGAAAGATGGGGAGAGACTTCTTAGCAGGGCCTGTTGTGATAGGATGAGGGATGATGGGTTTAAACTAACAGAGGGGGGATTCAGGCTGGATGCAAAGAAAGCTTTACAATGAGGGTGGTAAAACACTGGCACAAGTTGGAGCCTTTCAGGGCCAGGCTGGATGTGGTTCTGGGTAACCTGATCTCATTGAAGATGTTCCTTGCCATGGCAGTCAGTTGGAACTGGATGAGCTTCGAAATCCCCTTCCAACCCAAGCTATTCTAGGATCCTCTATCCCAGGACACTCAGATGGGGCTCATAGCCTGGTGTGCCCCAGTCTGTGCCTGCAGCACCCTGCAGAAACACAGCCTTTAATGCTGTGGGTTGCTGAGATGAAGATGATTTTCTTCATAAATTCAGCTTGATCTAAACCCCTGAATCAGCTCAAGCCAGTTCTGTCCTCCTGGGACTCACACAATGCCTCTTTGTTGCTGTTCATCCCTGGTGGTGCTGATTGTGGTGCTGATACAGAGCTCCTTTTGCTGAATTCCTGGAAACCAGCCCTTTGCAGCAGGAGGTGTTTCCATGTTCCCTGTTCTTCCCATTTCCCTCCCTTTCCCCCAGTGCTGTGGAATGTCTATGGAGACTGTGATAACTACGCCACCCTGAAGGGACACAGCGGGGCGGTCATGGAGCTGCACTACAACACTGATGGCAGGTAAGCTGGTGCTGGTGGCACTTGGCCTCAGTCACAGCCCTTTCTAAAGGTGCTTTCTGCTGGCTGGAGTCCCACCACCATCCCCTGCTTGTTCCTCATACGGCCAATGCTTGTGGTGTGGCTTTCCCAGAGAAAGAATGGTGCTGGCTTGGGCTTGAGCAAAGTCATCACTAGTACCCTTGATTTTGGTCTGGAGGAGCAAAGGAAAGTTAATGTTGGTCATTTGGGAGGCACTGGGGAGGGAAAGAACATGAGTGAGTTATTTGTGTGAGCCTGAAAATCCAGTCTTGGTATTCAGAGGATATTTGTTAGCTTAAAAGACCATTCTACTGTTGCATCTGAGCCATTACCACTCAGTTTTCCTTCCAGGTAGTGTTAGAGAAAGCAGAAAACCAATGTATGTATCTAGAAATGGGGGTGCCTTCAGTGTAGCTGCCCCACCACCAGTCAACCTCTTCTGAAACACCACCTTTGTCTTGGTGTATGGAGGAGATGCTTCTCCATGGCCTATTCCCACCTTTGATCGCACAACTTGAGAGTTAAAAAGGTGGGAGGGGAGAAGTGTTCCTGAAATTGGGATCCTCACCGTGACTCTCCTTTGCAGCATGCTCTTCTCAGCGTCCACAGACAAAACAGTGGCTGTGTGGGACAGTGAGACTGGAGAGAGGGTGAAGAGGCTGAAGGGCCACACATCCTTTGTGAACTCCTGCTACCCAGCGAGGCGAGGGCCCCAGCTCGTCTGCACAGGCAGTGATGATGGCACAGTGAAGGTCAGTGTGTGGTGGCAGCAGATAGTCTGGGCTGAAAGATGGCATCTCTGAAAGAATTTGGGGGGTTTTCCTATTTAAGTAGGTTAAATCGAGACTTTCATCACTGTTCTCATTCCATTAGGTAATAATTTAGTCTTGGGAAATTAAGACATTGAAATCAAGTTTGATTGCTCCTTTATTACTGTCATTCTCAGGGGGTTATAGAGACCTACTGAGACCTAAAGAGGGAATTTCAGGAGAGCACTCTGAGCCTCTGCCAGGTGTGGCAGGGGCTAGGAACTGGGTGATCTTAAGTTCCTTTCCAACCCAAACCATTCTGTGGTTCTCTGCATCCATGCAACTGCATGTTATTTTGTCATTAAATACCTCTGTGCACCTCCTATTACAAGTGCTGTGTCTTTTCAGCTGTGGGATATCAGGAAAAAAGCTGCTGTCCAGACATTCCAGAACACGTACCAGGTCCTGGCTGTGACGTTCAATGACACCAGTGATCAGATCATATCCGGAGGCATCGACAACGACATTAAGGTAGAACACCCTTATCCTTGCGTGCTTTTCCAGCCACGCACACCTTTTCCATCCCATCCCATCTTCCACTCCTCAAGGTCAAATGTGGAAGCCTGTTGGTTAATTTTACAGTCACAAGAGCCACGTGGACCTCCTGTGTCTGACCTCGCTGTTGTTTTAGGGCCAATAAGCTCTGAGGGAGTTGCTCCAGGGCTCTTTGCCATGTGACAGCCTGGGCAGCCCTGGCATTCCTGGCCAGGCGTCCCAGTGCTGCTGTCACCCGCTGGAGCAGACATGGAATGCTGCTCCTCTGGCAGCCTGTGCCTGTCCCAGAGCCTCTAGAGCCATATATGAGGTAAACTAAAGGAAATGTGGTGACGCATCCACACTCTATGACCTCTGCTCTAGTTTGCAGCTCGCTTTGTCACCTGCTAGTGTGGAAAGTTCTTATTTAAGAGCCAGGTCAGGGTTTCATTCAGCTGGTGACTGAGATTCTTCTGATACTGCATCATTTAATCCATCTTCCTGGCCCTTTAT